CGCCACTGCCTCGCATAGTTCAGGATTGGTAGAGCTACACATCGATGAATTTGCTCTTCAGTGTTTGAACTCTCAGTAATGATTAAATCACACTGAACTGAGCTAAACTGAACTGAACTGAACTTAAACACTAAAACCTGACCCACACTGTTCCAGTTACTGAACCACACTGTTCCAGTTACTGTGACCATTTATGTGAAGCTGCTTTGACACAATCTACATTGTAAAAGCGCTGTACAAATAAAGCTGAATTGAATTGAAAAAGTTTTCATTTGCCATTCACTGACAGTCAGACAGCCTCATCCAGATCATCAAACTCCGTCTTAAAATCAACAGCGTAATATGTCTGCTCATGAAGCCGGTGTATCAGTGCGCTGCTGCATTGAACACACATGATTTGATTCACGCCTTCTGATTGGTTCTCGGGATTTAGCAGCTTTTGCTGTCAAAGGCAGGTGGTGTGCGTGTGTGTGTGTATGTCTCCTCGCCGGTCCTACGCCACCAAACCCGCTCCAAGCTGGGATCGAATCGACAACCTTCCGCATGGGAGTCGGTTGCTCTAACAAAGAGGCTTAAGACCTGGCCTATAGTGTCTGTCGCTAGAGCACCTTAAGAGGTCAGAGGAGTGAGAGTTACCTGCACAGCACTAACTAGCTGGCCTCCGTTACACATGTGTTTGTGTGTGTGTGTGTGTGTGTGTGTGCTTGTGCACACAACATGTTTGTATGTAAGTTCGTGTGTGTGCTGGTTTATATGTTTGTGGGTATGTGTGTTCTACATCTGGAGCAGATTCAGTGTTCTCCTATAAGGCGTCAGTGATTCACTGTTAGCATCAGCTGCTGGTTTTCTCCCGCTCAGCTCTGCTCTGTGTTCAGCTCTGGATGAAGTCATTGAGCTCTGCTGGAACATCATGTACAAACACACACAACTATGGAGAACTCTACTCTCACACTCTCACACATGCTGATGGGGCATTTAACCCAACGCTGGGTCAACTGATCAAACAGGACCAGTTCTTTACCTAACACTGTTAGGAAATCACACCACAACAAGACAGGAAAAGAGGATTTGAAACATTTTTGGTATACAAGGTGTGTGTGTGTGTGTGTGTGTGTGTGTGTGTGTGTGTGTGTGTGTACACAAAGGTTAACTGCAATATTTCTAGTCAGTTTGACTGATTCAACAAAAAAATATTCACGCAGCACACTGTTTAACAGTGAATGGTTGTGTTTGTCCATGTTTGACCCAATGCAGACATCCCAAGTTGGGAAAATCATTTCTGGGGGATAGAGAGTTCATTTGCAGGAGGTAGCGGGAGAGTGGGTGCGTGAAGAGAGGGGGGGTGGGGGGGGTGTAGTGTGTGTGTGTGTGTGTGTGTGTGTGTGGTTGCGGGGGGAGAGATCTGGTTGAGTGAGCGACGTATCTGAGTAGGGGAGTGTGCGCGCGAGACGTACCTGAAGAGCGGTGGGGGTATGTGTTGCCAACTTTAGCAACTTTTCATACTACCCTCGCACCTTTTTTTCAAACAGCACCTAGCAACAAATTTAGCAATTTTTAACATTCATTTAGCTACTTTTAGCAATTTTTAAAAAGCGACTCAAAACTAAATCACAAGCTCAGACAGTTTTTCATAACTGTTCATTTACTGATATTTGTTAACGTGTAATTGTTGGTAATTTAGGTAACAATTAATTCTAATAGTACTATAACTATATTTTTCATACAAAATCTAAACTTACATATTTCAAATAATGCGAGAGATTAGAGACATAAAGGGCTTACACTTGCGAGATATTACGTGATGACGTCACTTATATGCAAATTAGTGTGTGACGTCATCTGGCAACATTTAGCTACTTTTCGGGCAGGCTTTAGCTACTTTTGATTGGAAAAGTAGTTGGCTACACTAGTGGGGATGAGTTGCTCGCATGACATACGATGTGACATACCTGAAAAGCGGAGAGGGTGAGTTGCGCGAGACGCGATGCAACATACCTGAAAAGTGTAGAGGGTGAGTTGCGCGCGACGCAACGTGACACCTGAAAAGCGGAGAGGGTGAGTTGCATGCGACGCGACATACCTAAAGAGCAGAGGGGGTGAGTTGCGTGCGACGTGACATACCTGAAAAGCGGAGAGGGTGAGTTGCGCACAACGCGACATACCTGGAGAGCGGAGGCGGTGAGTTGCGTGCGACGCGACATACCTGAGAAGCGGAGGGGTTGAGTTGCGCATAACGCGACATACTTAAAGAGCGGAGGGGGTGAGTTGCGCATGACGCGACATACCTAAAGAGCGGAGGGGGTGAGTTGCGCGCAATGCGGCGTGACGTACCTGAAAAGTGGAGGGGGTGAGTTGCGCATGACACGACATACCTAAAGAGCGGAGGGGGTGAGTTGCGCATGACGCGACATACCTGAAGAGTGTAGGGGGTGAGTTGCGCGCGACGCAACATACCTGGAGAGCGGAGGCGGTGAGTTGCGTGCGACGCGACATACCTGAGAAGCGGAGGGGGTGAGTTGCGCATAACGCGACATACCTAAAGAGCGGAGGGGGTGAGTTGCGCGCAATGCGGCGTGACGTACCTGAAAAGTGGAGGGGATGAGTTGCGCATGACGCGACATACCTAAAGAGCGGAGGGGGTGAGTTGCGCGCGACGTGACGTACCTGAAGAGCGGAGGAGGTGAGTTGCAAGTGACGCGATGCTACGTACCTGAAGAGCGGAGGGGGTGAGTTGTGCGCGACGCACCTAAAGAGCGGAGGGGGTGAGTTGCGCGTGACGTACCTGAAGAGTGTGTGGTGAGTTGCGCGTGACGCACCTGAAGAGCTAGGAGGGATGCGGTGAAGAGAGGGGTGTGCAACGTATTTAAGGACCGGGAAGGGGGGAGACGTGCGATTTCCAGGAGATTATCATTCATTTGCGGGCATCCGGGAGTGTCTATGCATTTGCCGGTTACTCCTGCAACTTCCAGGAGACTTGGGATGTCTGCCAATGTTGAGTTAAAACAACCCAGCATTGTTTAGAAAGAACCTGCTCTGCTGTAAATGTCTCTTGACCTGCTCTGAAATGCACATTTTAATTTCATATTTGACGAAATCTCAACTGAAACATAAAGAGGGTGGGGCCTAGAGCAGCTCCTCCCCTTTTTGAAAACAGCCAATAGTGTTTAGTTTTCCTCACAGCTCTGCCAGTGAGAGCAGTTGAGCTTAAGCGCATCATGAGAAGAGGGCGGGGCATGTTATACACCAGAGAGCATTTGATTGGTCAGAAGATTTGATAAGAAACTGAAGTATGAGGCGATGTCTGTAGCTCTGAATGTGCCGGGTTGTTCAGCACAGAAAACCACGTGTCACTCATGTTCTACAGATGACTGCATGGTTAAATATAATACATATGTTTGTCAAACCTGAGCTACACATGGACAAACATCCACTGGGTTAAAATTTTTAATTTAAAAAAATCAACCCAACAGTTGTCCATGTTTGACCCACCATTGAGTTGATCTGTGTTTCTGTCAGAAAGCTTTAACACTGAAGCTTAATAATGAATTGAGCAACAAGTGTGTGAAGACCCAGAACACAGAACATGTGTAAATTCATAAGTATAACTTCTTCTTACAAAAAAGGCTTAGTTGTTGGGTCAAATATGGACTTGGGTCAAATTGACAATAATGAGTCGAATATGAACAAACCCAACTTCTTTAGTATTACAATTCAGAATACACCTTTTAACCAATGCTTGTGTTTCTCCATATTTGACCCAACATTGGGTTCCAACAGCATGACACCCATAATGCTCACACATGCAGTCATATCTGGGTTATAATATTATTACAGTCTTTTGTTTTAACATGTGAGCTGCACTCTAAAGACTCTGGTGTTGTTTTAACATAACATAGGGTGAAATATTGAAACACCCATTAAATGTTTTTTTTTTATTATTTATTTAAAAATGTAAAAAAAAAAAAAAAAACTCTTTAACCCAACTGCCACTTTTTAACCCAAAAGGAGTGTTTAACCCAACATTGGGTTAAATCAAAGCACTCTTTTTTTAGTCAACTTATAATATTCAGGCATAAGTCTTTAGTGAGCTGAACACACTGAGTTGTTTCACAAAGTTGGGTATACGCAAACATTGGGTTAATTTTTTTTTTCAGTTAAAATTAAATTATACTTTTAACACATCAATTGGGCCTAGTCGCCACAACATTAGAATAAAACAACCCAGCGTTTTAATAATATATAAATATAATATGTAGTCAAGTTATAATATACACTCATGATATTCTTTTGTTGAAAAAACAAAGTGACACTCTGAGTTGTTTTAACCCAAAGTTGGGGCAAATTCTGACACACCCAAACATGCATTAATTTTTTCAATTAAATTTAAATGACACTTATTAACCCACTGAATAGGAGTAACTGACGCATCGTTAGAAAAAACAACCCAACAGCATTATTATTTAGCCATCTTACATTATAAAGTCATGAATACAGTCATAAAAGTCTTTTGTTTCAAACGTTAGCTGCACTCTGGCTTGTTTTAACCCAAAGTTGTGTCAGAAGATGACACGCCCAAACTTTGGGTTAATTATTTATTTATTTTTTTTGCAATTAAATTTGAATTACAAAAAAATAACCAAACGATTGAGGATATTTGACGTGACATTAGAATAAAACTACCCAGTATTTCTTATAGATTCAATTTATAATACACAGTCGGTCATAATAGATTATAATAGCCCTTTTGTTTCCAGCATGTGAGCTGCACTCTAAAGGAACACCGGGTTGATTTAACCCAACTTTGATGAACAAAAACTCGATATCGTTCGGTTTATATTTACATTTTAATTTAATTATCACTTTTTAACTCAAGCGTTGAATTGTCCATATTTGACCCAACACTGTGTTAAAACAGCCCAGCGTTTTACAAGCACACATGCTTATATTTTCATTTGTCTCAACATTTGTCTCGTATGTTCGATGATGAAGCAAAGTCTTACCTTGCGTTCTGACTCCAGTCATTAGTAAACTTCCCAAAAGCAGAATCCACAAGTGTGACATCATTGTGTCCTGAATGGAGCTGAGCTGAACAAGTTCGAAATCACGACCTACTTTAATGTACTTTTCTGTCTTTCTTTTCTTTTTTAAAGTGACGGCTTTGAGCACGCGTGGATGTGTGTGTGTGTTTCTCTGTGTGTGTGTGTGTATGTGTGTTCGCACGCATGCATGCAGTAGTGTGCAGTCTTTTGTTGTCCAGCTCTTCTGGATCCCGGGCTTCAGCGCCGCCCACAATCAGACGGAGATCCAGAGGCAGAAACTCGCAGGATGCGTGAGCGCACAGAAAATAACCATACACTGCTAAAACACACACACACACACACACACACACACACACACACACACACATGCATGCGGGCTTCCCTCATTCTGATCAGACCCAATGTTCTGACGTTTTATCCTGCCCGTCAGATTATGCTACCAACACTATTTGAATGGTTATGATGTGGGTTAGGGCGACATTAAAGCCTCCGGTACACAATGTAACAGCACATTTCACCATCAAAATGCCTATAGTTTTAATGGGAGGTCGGAAAATCTGACAGGGTAGGACACCAGCATAAGACCGTCTAAAGTTCTTGTTTACCCCTTGATACAACATTGATACAACGTTCAGTGTTATCACAAATGAAAAAGTACAATAGCAATTCACATACTATAGGAAAGTACTTGCATTAATCTGCTGTGGTTATTTTATAGTTGCTATGGTAACAAAGAAATAATCTTATGTGATCTATTGGTGTGATTCTGTAGTTGCTATGGTAACACAACAACTGTAGTAATATAAACAAAATGCCTATACTAAATGGGTATATTATGTACTACAATACAGTTTACTGTAGTAAATATTAAAGTATACTGCACTATGATAAGTTTGTCTGTCGACTATAGCTGTAGCGTGAGTTGTAAATACTGCAATGAATACATATATTTCTTATAACACACTACTCTATGGTATGGTTCAAAAGTACTATAATCTTTACTATATTGTTTAATGCATATCGCTGAAAACATTCCACCTTTAAAAATCACTAAAGCAATTTACAGTAAGAGTGCTTCCCAACCATGAAAAAACATTGAGACAATAATTAATGCAATCCAAAATACTACAGTAATGTTAATCTATTGTGGTGATTCTACAGTTGCTATGGTAACACAAGAACTATAGTAATCTATTTGTTGTGGCAATTCTATAGTTGTTATGGTAACACAAGAACTACAGTAATCGATGTATTGTGGTGATTCTATAGTTGCTATGGCAACACAGGAACTAAAGTAAACGGTCTGTTGTGGTGATTATATAGTTGCTATAGTAACACAAGAACTACAGTAATCGATCTATTGTGGTGATTCTATTGTTGCTATGGTAACACAAGAACTACAGTAATCGATCTATTGTGGTGATTCTATTGTTGCTATGGTAACACAAGAACTATAGTAATCGATCTATTGTGGTGATTACACAATTGCTATGGTAACACAAGAATGATAGTAATTGATCTGTTGTGGCAGTTCTATAGTTGCTATGGTAACACAAAAACGATAGTAATCGATCTGTTTTATCAATTCTAGTTGCTATGGTAACAACAATTATCACACTGTAGTGTTCCACCCCTGCTGACAAATCCAGCTTAAACCAGCCTAAGTTGGTTGGCTGGTTTTAGCTGGCCAACCAGCCTGGTTTTAGAGGGGTTTTGGCCACTTCCAGGCTGGTTTCTAGCCATTTCCAGCCTGGTCTTAGCTGGTCAGGTTGGGAGATGACCAGCTAAAACCAGCCTAGCCAAGCTGGGAGTCCAGTCATAACCAGCTACATCCAGCTTAAACCAGACTGGTCAAGCTGGTTTTAGCTGGATTTGGCTGGTCATTTTCCAGCCTGACCAGTTAAGACCAGGCTGGAAATGGCTGGAAACCAGCCAGGAAATGGACAAAACCCCTCTAAAACCAGGCTGGTCGACTAGCTAAAACCAGCTAACCATCCTAGGCTGGTTTAAGCTGGATTTTTTCAGCAGGGACAACTATTATACTATATAGTATGTGTTATACTACAGTATTTATTACAGTTTATTAGTTCACTCTACAGCAGTAGCATTAAGAGTTGTAAATACTATAATATATACACAGTGTAGTGTATTTCCAAAACACTAGTAACTATGCACTAAGAGTGTTGTTGGTCCATCTGCTGATGTGGCTTCTCTTTATAAGTTTTTTTCGATGTAGTTTGACCTCCATGAAGGACAAAAAAACCTCCCCAACCCCCAGACTCATGTTAGCTCAATGTTTGCGACTCGTTAAGTGGGAACTTCCCCAGAACGGTCGTGTTGTAATAGCTAGTGTGCGCCCTGCCTAGGCATCATGAGTGTGCAGTTTGTGCCCAGAGGCTCATTCATTCATTCAGCCGTGGTTTTGCTCCTGAACTTGAGCCGCCCAGCGGGGGGAAACGCGAAGAAACGCGTCCGAACAAATCACTCCGGTTCAGGAGTTAAATATCAGATCTGACTGCAGGCGAGCACTGTGACGCGCGCCTTCTGAACAGCAGTACTGTGGTAAATCTCTGTTTACATGGGTAACGCATCAGAAGGGCGCGGCAGATCCTACAACGTCAGTAGTAAACGACAGCTGTTGGGTTGTTTCCCACCATTATAAAATAAGTAGACACTTTAGGATTTATGAAATGTATGCTATGGAAATCTGATATAGGCTATGCAAGTTACATATATGACAAACAAGTTATTTGGAATATATATTATAGGATTTCACCTAAATAAAATGTCATATATGCAACATATATATCAAAATGTTGCAAATTTTACTATTTATATATTTCTTTTCAACTTTTTTCAACCAGTGAAACTACAAATATATCCTCAAATTTATAAGCTATGATTCATATATGATCATATTTACAAATATAGCTAATATCCCTGCTGAAAAATCCAGCTTAAACCAGCCTAGGCTGGTTGGCTGGTTTTAGCTGGTCGAAAAGGCTGGTTTTAGAGGGGTTTTGGCCCAGTCCAGGCTGGTTTCCAGCCATTTCCAGCCTGGTCTTAGCTGGTCAGGCTGGGAGATGACCAGCTAAAACCAGCTTGACCAGCCTAGCCAAGCTGGGAGTCCAGCCAAAACCAGCTATATCCAGCTTAAACCAGGCTGGTCAAGCTGGTTTTAGTTGGATTTAGCTTGTCATTTTCCACCCTGACCAGCTAAGACCAGGCTGGAAATGGCTGGAAACCAGCCTGGAAATGGCCAAAACCCCTCTAAAACCAGGCTGGTCGACCAGCTAAAACCAGTCAACCAGCCTAGGCTGGTTTAAGCTGGACTTTTCTGCAGGGATATTTGCATATTTTAATTCCAATGGTTGAAAAAAAGGTATATAGTGAACAATTTTGCTATATTTTGACATATATGCATTTTATTTATGCAATTTATTTTGTATTCATGAAATCTGTTCATGATCATGAATATGTTTCCATGCATCAGAATTTTTCAATTCACTTCATCTTCATTTCTCCAGCACTTTTACAATGTAGATTGAGTCGCAGCAGCTGAACACAGAAGTTCTATAGTCAACTGAAACTGTCAGTCCAGTGTTCAGAGTTGAAGTTCAGTTGAGTTCAGCTCAGTGTGGTTTAATATTCACTGCTAAAAGTCCAAACACTGAAGAGCAAATCCAGCCATGCGCAGCTCCACAAGTCCTACTTGAATTGAACAGAATTAAATATGCACTTTAAAATTGCTGGGTTGTTTTAACACAGTGTTGGGTCAAATATGGACAACTCAACGGCTGGGTTAAAAAGGATAATTAAATTAAATTGTAAATATTAACCGAATGATAAAGGGTTTTATTAATCAAAGTTGGGTTAAAACAACGTGATACAAACAAGGCAATGGAGCACAGCACATGGGGACGACCACATGACACAAACACAGGAGTCTGACATTACCCCCCCCCCCCTCTTTGAAGGCACGACCTCGCTCCTTTAATGCAAAAGACAAGAGAAGAAAATGATGGAAAGGAGGAGGCCAGGGGGGAATTTTTAGGAGGGAGGAGCCATGAAGTTAGCTTGAGCCGGAGACACAGGACTCAGGACACAGCCAGGAGGACAGCCCAGGGTGAAGTTGACAGAGGGCGGAGGAGTGGTCGCTGACTCCAGGGGGCGGACCACAAGAGACGCCTCAGCTGGAGGTGGAGAGCCGCATGGCGAAGGTGACGTCGAGGTCCAAGAGGGCTGAGGTGGAGCGGACTGCTCACCCGCCTGAAGCAATGACACAGGTTTGGAAGCCTGCATTGGAGCCAGAGCGACAGAGGACCAAGGCGGAGGAGTTCAGAGGTGGAGGCAGAGTGACAACTGACCAAGGCGGTGCTGGGGGGACGAGGGAGCCTGGCAGAGCTGGTGGGCGGACGGGCCATCGAGGAGACAAGGGAGGAGAGAGCCAACGACGTTGACCACAACGATGGGGTTCTGGTCTGGTGAAGAATGGTTCCAGAAGGCAGGTAAGACAAAAATAAAAGCTACAGGGTGAGAATGTGGTAAAATCTGAAACATGGTAAAAATCAGGCGAGGGTTTTTCTCTTTCTGGATTGATTTAGAAAATTGTTAGTTGGGTTTGGGGAAGTGGGTGGGCGGGTAAATCAATAAAATTGGTTGGGTGTAGTGAAGGAGGAGGGTGGGTCAGTCGATTGGTCGGTCTGTCAGTCAGTCAGTCAACAGCGGCTTTTGGTGGGTTTATGCAAGAATAGCAGGCGTGAATGGCACTTGCGAGAGAAATTTGAGATATGAAAAAGCATACACACTGACCTCTCGTGGATTCGCGAAAACAAAAACTGCAAAAAATAAAAATAAAAAAACGTATCTCCTGGCACATATTCCGTGGTCTCCAGAAATGTATATAGAGGTACATTTTCAGAATGAGCCCGGATTGAAGTGACTTTAAATCAGAATTTGCCAGGCATATGAATGATTTTGAGGTTTTGTTGCTTATGCAAGTTTTAGGAACAGTAAATAATAACTGGACTTCTAGTTGATCATTTTGTATCAGAAGTGGCTTATGTGAAAGGCAAAGGCCTCTAGATTATGAATCCAAGATTCTTTGTGTTCATCTTCAAAGCCTCCTTCTTGATGTTGATCATCCACTCTGTAGATCTCTCGCACACCCCCATACTGAATGTGGACCCTGAACCATGATTTCTCTTTCACCAAACTTGACTGATTTCTATGAGAATCTTAGCTCCATGCTGGTTCCAGTAGGTCTTCTGTAGTATTGGTGATGATTGGTGCAGATCAACAGATGATTCAACAGAGAAATCCACCTTCTGACACTTTTACACATCATCAACTAGAAGTCAAGTTATAATGTGCAGCTCTTACAACTGAAATCTAACACCAGACTTTTGTCAGGTGTACACATATATACAATATAAAGAGCTGTTTGAAGTTCCATCTGATAATTACACTGTTGTGTTCAAAACTTGTGCCATAATTTTTATCTTTAAATAAATAAATAAATAAATAAATAAATGTTTGATTAGGGAAAAGATAGCACTGATAAACCGACAATTTGCCCTCCAAATATGCATTTTAGAGTCCAATGCAAACTTAGACATTCATTCATTCATTCATTTTTTTTGGTTAAGTCCCTTTATTAATCTGGGGTTGCCACAGCGGAATGAACCGCCAGTTTTTATGCAGAGGATGCCCTTCCAGCCGCAACCCATTTCTGGGAAACAACCAAACACACTTATTCACACTCATACACTACGGACAATTTAGCCTACCCAATTCCCCTATAGCGCATGTGTTTGGACTGTGGGGGAAACCGGAGCACCCGGAGAAAACCTACGCCAACACAGGGAGAACATGCAAACTCCACACAGAAACACCAAATGACCCAGCCCAGGCTCGAACCAGCAACCTTCTTGCTGTGAGGCGACAGGTTACCTACTGCACCACTGCGTGGCCTCAAACTTAGACATTGTCAATAAAACTAATTTTATCCTATAGCATGTTTTAGAAAAATAAAATAAAATTAAGCTAATTAAATGACCCTATAGCTTCTACAATAGTTTGAGTGAAAATTGTTCTGCATAAATGTTTAACTGCAGCTGAACTGACCATGAAAACAAGATAAAAACCAACAAATGTGCGCATACACGTCACTGTGTGTGTGTGTGTGTGTGTGTGTGTGTGTGTGTGTGTGTGTGTTTCCATCAATGAGGATCACCCCCCTGCCCCCCTCCCCTCACACTGAGCCTGAATGGACAGCTCCATCCGCTGAAGTTGAGCAGCAGAATCAACCTGTTCCACCGCGGAGCACCATCAGACCCGCGGCCGCTGCTGGATCTCCCGCCGGGAATGAGTGCAGCTCCGCGGGCTCCGCTGCAGCATCTTCCGCGCTCCCGCTGACATGCAGTCGCTCATCTCTCCGGTCACCAAAGCCGTGCTCGTGGCGCTCTTCATTTTCGCCATTCTGCTGATCCTGTACGTGATCCTGTGGTACATATGCAGAGACGTGGACTGCGATCACGGCATCTGATCGGTGAGCTGCGGATCCGCGGAGTCAGGGTGACCCCGGTGAGTCCGTCTGGATGCCCTTCATTCATGCATTCACACTCACACACGCACGCACACGGCGTATCGATATCACGCCGACTGTGTGATACAACACCATCTGTGATAAAATGTGTGCGTTATATCTGTGACAGCTCAGTGTAGTAGACGCGTATTGATGGATGTGTGGCACTCTACAATCACTCCACGCATCATGAGATGTTACGACGCGCAAAGTGAGCGTTTCATATGCGGGACAATTAGTTCGCTATTTAATGCATGTAAACCGAACACATTTTCACTCTTAAACACGTGCTGGGTTGTATATCAAGCCAATGCTGGGTCAAATGCACAATCCCAGTGACTCCACGGATCATCAGATGGTTCATTGCGACGCGCGAAGGCAACGTTTTATATGCGGGAAAATTAGTTCGCTGTTTAATGCATGTAAACCGAACACACTTTTCACTCTTAAACACATGCTGGGTTGCATTAACACAATGCTGGGTCAAATGCACAAACCCAATGACTCCACGGATCATTAAATGTTTAGACTGAACGTTTTAAATGCGGGAAATAATTAGTTTGCTACTGTATATACGAACACATTTTACACTCTAAGCACATGCTGGGTTGAATTAACACGATGTTGGCTCAAATGCACAAACCCAAAGAGTTGGTTTTTTTTTTATTGATAATAATAATATTTTTTTAAACACGATTGTCCCAAAGTTGGGTTAATACAATGCAGTATTTTATAGTGTTATTTTTATCTGAGAATGGTATTAATAATAAACCAAAAATCCTCTGCAGAGAATGCTGATGAATTAGTTACAGACTCTAGCCTTAAAACAAGGTGTAATGATAAGATCAGAGCTTATACAGGTGAAAGAATCTGCTTATGGTAATGTTCATGCATGCTGATTGCGGTAATAGTGACTAAAACTAAACTCTGGCGCATTATCATGCATGCATAAAAAAGGTTCTGGGACATTTGCTTTCCAAAGATGCATCTGAAAGATGTTAGCTACTTCAGCACACTCTCATTCATTCATTTTCTTGTCGGCTTAGTTCCTTTTTTAATCCAGGGTAGCCACAGCGGAATGAACCGCCAACTTATCCAGCACATTTTTACAAAGCGGATGCCCTTCCAGCCGCAACCCATCTCTGGGAAACATCCACACACACACACACACACACACACTTACACTACGGACAATTTAGCCTACCCAATTCACCTGTACCGCATGTGTTTGGACTGTGGGGGAAACCGGAGCACCCGGTGGAAACCTACACCAGCGCAGGGAGAACATGCAAACTCCTTCAGCGGACTCTCTCACTAATTATTTGATGCTAAAATCTTAAGGTGCCTCTCAGTCTCCTGTTGTTTGTTGCATTCATTCACGAGCTCTCCATTGAAAAGTCTGACCGCAGCTTTGCAGCAGGTTTTCTCTGCGCTTGTTTTAAGCTGTTCATTCCTGCAGCTCTCCCACCTGAAAGTACCACAGTAAACTCTGTAGCATTTTGAACCATATACTATAGTGACGTGTAATGTATTCACAGTGCTCAGCATAACTGAGTAGAGCCCGTTTTGAAATGAACATGCTTATCCATTTCCCAGTGAATTTATGTATTTAGGTGCATTTAAACAAAACAGATTTATTAAGCAGATATCTTTATTAAAATAACAGTTTAGTCGCCAAACATATTTAATAATTGAAAGATAATACAATTAAATTCAAGAAAAAGCTAAACATAATTTTCCCTTTTTTTATTTCTTGATTTTTCCTTTTATTAAATTTGTATTTAATATTTTTCTATAACGTATGCATTCGGTTGTACTAGTTTTTGGACCATTTTCGTGAGTTATTTAGATAGATAAGTTCAAGATTTGGCTTCAGCGCTGACTAATTTAATGCATATACACACATTTAATAATCTATAGCTTAAAAATATGAATTTAAAGTAAGATTTGTGAGGGGTGTACTTATATATGCTGAGCTCTGTATGTTTTGAAACTCTTTGTTAATGAAATCATACTTCAGTATTATCTATACTCTAAAAATGCTGGGATGTTTTAACCAAATGTTGGTTTGAATATGGACAAACCCAACCACTGGGTTTAAAAGTGCAATTAAAATCTAATTGAAAAAGATTGCTTAATGTTGGGTTAAAACAAGACAGCATTTTTACCACTGTACTGTACTGTACTGTAGCACACTCAAAAATGAAGGGTTGTTTTACTCAACATTGGGTCAAATATGGACAAACCTGTTAGGTAAAAAAGTCCAATTAAAATTTTTATAATAAAAAAACATTGTTCATATTTGACCCAATGCTGAGTTAAAACACTATTACAGTGTTTACCCTATTATACTGTATATACTTTAGTGTTCAGTAAAGTAAACTGTAGTCATTATTAGGGCCAGAAGGAATCTACAGACGTTTTATGCTATGTCTGCTGAGAGTTTTGGCAAAAATCTGCAGATTTCTGAGAAATTATCTTAACTAAAACCTTAATATATGAAATAAAACGTAATACTTTTTAACTTTTATTTAATGTTTAAAATGCAAATCCAATTAGATTCACTTTATTTGGTAAACAAAGCAAGCCTCTCTTTAATGCCTCTACTAAAAGACAGAAAATAGCACTACACACTCTGCATTGTGCATAAATCAGATGAACATTTTCATAATAGTCAATAATATTCCTGAAATTAATTTATAAACTGAATAAAAATAGATTTACACACATTTACTCAAGTAAATAAACAGAATTAATGATGGGCTAAAAATCGGTGGAATTCTGCGCGCGCAGATTCCGTGTGGGCCGAGTCATTATATAGTAATTTGTCTATACTACTGCAGTTGTTATGTTACCATAGCAACTATAGTGCCACCACAATAAATGAATCCATACACTTTATTATACTCTAAAAATGCTGGGTTGTTGTAACCCAACACTGAATCAAACATGAACAAACCCAACAGCTGGGTTAATTTTTTGATTAAATTTAAATTACATTGTTTTAACCTAATGTTGGCGATGCTGTGGCGCAGTAGGTAGTGCTGTCGCCTCCCTGTGTTGGCGTGGGTTTCCTCCGAGTGCTCCGTTTTCCCCCACAGTCCAAACACATGCGCTATAGGGGAATTGATCAACTAAACTGGCCGTAGTGTATGAGTGAGTGTGTGTGTGTGTGTGTGTGTGAATGAATGATTGTGTGTGGGTGTTTCCCAGTTCTGGGTTGCTGCTGGAAGGTCATCTGCTGCTTGAAACATGTGCGAAATAGTTGGTGGTTCATTCCGCTGTGGCGACACCTGATGAATAAAGAGACTAAGCCGAAGGAAAATAAATGAATGAATGATTTCTTGTGTTACCATAGCAACTATAGAACCGCCATACATGTTAAAATACTGGGCTGTTGTAATCCAACGTTGGGTCAAATATGGAGAAACTGTAATCTGTTAAACATCATGTGGGAAATATTTAAAAAAGAAAAAAATTAAAAGGAGGGCTAATAATTCTGACTTGAGCTGTATATATTTTTAAATTAGACACACATCTGATGCTTGTATTTGCAGCAGCTCCACGTCCACAACTTCACACATTGGGTTAAATTAGGCTGTTCAGTCTCCGTGTTCAGTCCTTTACTTCCACTGTATCTGTTCAGCTGAGGGAACAGAACCAACCCCTTGATATCAGACACATCGATATTCCAAGATGGCTGCGCTCTAGCTCTAAAAGCTACTGTAAAACCAGTTGGGTTTAAACATCTAATTTAAAATTAATTTGAGAACTGTTCAGATTTGAGTTTGGGTTCATTTTTTTCAATTAAATTCATTCATTTTCTTGTCGGCTTAGTTCTTTTATTAATCTGGGTTCGCCACAGTGGAATAAACTGCCAACTTATCCAGCACATGTTTTACGCAGCGAATATCCTTTCAACTGCAACCCATCTCTGGGAAACATCCATACACTCTCATTCACACTCATACACTACGGACAATTTAGCCTACACAATTCACCTGTACCGCATGTGTTTGAACTGTGGGGGAAACCGGAGCACCCGGAGGAAACCCACGCCAACACAGGGAGAACATGCAAACTCCACACAGAAACACCAACTGACCCAGCCGAGACTCAAACCAGCGACTTTCTTGCTGTGAGGCGACAGCGCTACCTACTGCGCCACTGTGTCGCCCTAAATTAAATTTAAATGAAAACTTCTAACCCAACGGTTGTGTTTGTCCATATTTGACTACCAATCCAACCCAGGATTTGTTAAAGCGCAGTATGGTTCATAAACAAATGACTATAGTATTACTGTAGTATTGTTCATGTGTCCGAGACTGGGGAAGACAGACAGCGTGTCGAGGGGTTTCTGTGAACAACATCTTAATTTAATCCTTAAGCATATCTTAAATCTGTGGGCTAATTGAGCCTCTAAACTCGGAGTGAAGCATGCATATCTCCAGCTCTCCATGCACACATTATTGGGCAGAACGGCCGATGCGGGATGTGAAGGAGAACCCAAGGGCAGCAGCTCATGTGCAGCACTGCAGTGTGTTTGAGAGCAGACTGTTGAACTCTTCTCAGCGGGGTTACAAACGCAGATCTGCACTAATTATCACGCTCACTTATGCATTTACACCAGTCGCGCTGCTGAAGCTCAGCCTGATGACAAAAACACTGCGGCGTTTCACAGTAAATTTACTATACATGATTTCCTGTGGTAAGCACACTCTGAAAAATGGAGTGAGATGAGAGAAAAATGACGGTTTTGGATTATAGTCTGTTTTATTTAATTTGGCTTGAACAAAAAGCTAACTCCTTAATAAAAAACTCACATACATAAAAACGGTGTAGCACTGAATATTTCTCTTCATGTAGTCACACGACACAAACTGCTGGCACAAACTGTAATGCATGCTTTAGCTTTTACTAGGGCTGTCAAATGATTAAAAAATTAAGGTAATTAGTCACACTAATTATTAATTACTTATCACGAAACACATTTATTTTA